TGGAAATTGGAAGTAGGGCTGTCAATGGACCGAATACAGATTGGACCCCGCCCGGACCATAACCAGTTGGACCGATTTGGATGGTCCAAAGTATTATATCGGACTGGATTGGTCCAAAATTTGATTGTTCAGTAAATTAGTGGACCGAAATGGACATAGTTCAAATACCCAATGGTCCGTTCAATTGTCCACTTAATCCTTTTTTCCTCACTCTCTTCATCAGCATAACAAAGGGTTTTGTCTCCGACAATGATTATGCATTCTCTCTCTCTCTCTCTCTCCCTCCCTCCCTCCCTCTCTGGTAGTATACCAGAGAGTGTTTTTAGATGATCTCTTCTTTAACCGATGATAGACGATCTATTCTTTAACCGATGGCATATTACAGAGGTCTCTCTCTCCGACAATATTATAGAGAGTGTTTTCAAACGATTTTAGCAACGATCACTCCATCTCCGGCAACGGTTCCAGCCTAAGGTGTTCTCTCTCTCTCTCTTCAGCAACAATATCTCCTTCATCTCCGGCAATAGTTCAAGCCTGAGGTGTTCTCTCTCTCTTCACCAACGATATCTCCTTCATCTCTCTCTCTTCGACTCTCTGCTTTTTTTAACAATTAAAGAGAGCATAGATACAAAAATAACCTTCCTAAACAAATCCTTGTTTCCAGATCACAAACACAAGAAAAATTTAGAAATTCATCAAAACTGTCCAGTTCATTCCATTACCTTCACCATGACTGAAAGCTTCACTTGAGAATCCACCTTGTGTGCTCAGATTGGAGAAAACAAGTTCAGAGAGAAGAAGTTGAAAGGCTGCTCGCTCAAAGCTAACGTGCACCGAATGGTCTCTAATTCTTTATCATTGTGGAAATTATTTTCTTTTTATATTTTTATTTTCTATTTTGATACATTTTTTATATTTTGTAAAATTTTTAATAAATATTTTAAATACCGATCCGCAACCGGAATTGCTTTGGCCACTGGTTTTTGGGTCAGCGGTTTGACCATTCGATTCAAATGGATGGCCCATTCCAATTTAAAAAATAAAAATTAATTAAAATAAAAATGACAAAAGATGGTCGAACCGGTTGATGGTTCAACCGTCTAGGCCAACGGTTCATTGATCAAATCAACACTTTTTGGCCAATATTCGGGTTAATGGTGAAACAGAACCGGTTGTCTTGATGGTTTTCGAGCTGAATGGTCTAATTATCGGGGTCAATGATGGTTCAAAAACCATGTTTTTAATGTATTTCTATAAATTTTTATATTTTTTATATAAATTTTTTTTTCACTCATTTTGGATCAGATTGGACCCAATTCAGTCCATTTGCATTTTAATTGGACCAGTTTAGGTCTAGCTTGTATGGTTTTTGGACTGGATTGGATTTGGTGCATTTGTAAATGGACCCGATCAGATTGGACCAATTTGACCAAATCTAGTCTAGTTGACACCCTTAGTTATTGATGATTTTTTTTTGTTAGTAAGGATGAATTGGACTTGGATTGGACCCAATCCGATCCATTTGAATTTTAATTGGATTGGAATGGAGTGAAACAGGTGTTGTAGGTTTTTATATATTTTTCTGGATTTCTCATGTTATATTGGTGTATGGTCCAATTTGGATTGAATTGGACCCCAATCCAACCCATTTATATTTTAATTGGATTGGATTTGATTGCAACAGGTATTATAGTTTTTTATATATTTTTTATAAATTTTGTATGTTATTATAGTATTTGATTCAATTTGGATTGGATTGAACACAATCTAGTCCGCTTGCATTTTATTTAGACCGGATTGGACTTGGTTTGTTTGGATTTGGTAAAATCCATTTATAAATGGACAAATATTGGATTTGACTGGAGTGGACCAAATCCAGTCCAATTGGCAGTCTTAATTGGAAGAATACTTATAATCTTGGAAAGAAATGACACCAATTTGTCATTGCCTATTTGGTGTAAAGGTCCTTAGAGAGTAGGGATCATTTCTTTAAAATTTTCCAAAAAAATACAATAAGCTAATATTTCTAAAGGAGTAAAGGTGTAGGGACTAGGGATTTTCCTTGCATTGCAATGCTTGCCATTAATGTCAATCCTAAAGAGAATACTATAAATAATAGATAATTAAATATAATGAATCAAAGAAGTAAAAAACTAAGTTAGTAAGTAACTAGGATAGAGACAACCTTGTTAAGTAGTTAGATAACTCGGTTCAATTCGGTTTAGTTTTGATTTTCACACATGAAAATTGAAACCAAAGCCGAACCAACAATTTATCCATCTTTGCAACCCACAACCAATCGGTGGTGAAGAAAAACAAGCCGATTCAGGTTGGGTTGGGCTGGATTATCGATTTGAACTTTTTTTATGAACAACTGTACTTTTCTTTAAAGAGAAATGGGGATGGAGCAGTGAGAACTAAGAATATAAGGCGATGAGAAGATAGCATGTGAGAATGGGGGAGAGGGGGGAGGGGGGAGGACGACATGGAGCGGTGGTGAACTTATAGTGGATATAAGTTGGGATGGGGGAGGGGTTTGGACTTCGGAGGCACTTTCAATCATCTATTGAAACCGAATGAGACAATCTAACCAATCATTAGCAAACAACATTGTATCACTTAATATTACTCAACGAATGATCCTCGTACTAAGTATGGGACCATTAATATGAATTATTTCAACATTTTAAATTATTTATATTAGACATTTAGGTTATGCTTTTTATTTGATTTAAGAGACTTACTGTTTTATCTAGAGAATGATCCCATACTAATGGGCAACTACATTATCATTTCATTTGAAATTTACCATTTAACTATAAAAAAATAAATAAGAAAAATTAATATGGGTTTTACATATTTGAAATTGACAATTTATTTTGACCTATTTTGTTTGAAAATCACTATTAATTTATATTATTTTTAATATGATTTAAGAGATAAAATGAGATCTTATTTGTATAAATCACTTTAATTGGTATTTACTATTTGATAAACTTATTTTTAAAAGCTAAATTAGGTTATGCTTCCAAAAAAAGTTAAATATAATTTGCAATTAATAAACTATTTCATCTAAAAGAATGAAACTCACACTGATGAAGGGTGATTCGGCCCGACCTAGCGAGAATGGGACACATGGACGCGACCTGATTAAGGGATGATAGCTCAGCCTGGCAAGCCTAGTTTGCAACATTTGAGATTGGGCATTCAACCACCTCGGCCCAAAACTCACATCGACATTGAGGCACCTCGGTATCCAATCCAGTTCGAAACTAAAGAATCGAAGTATCAGTTCGGGGCTAACAACCCGAATCGTCACGTAACCGACTCCAGAGGTCTCTCCAACGGATCCCGAATCTCTCGAAATCACGATGAGCTAACAGATCCCGACTTTTCCGATATCACGATGATGACTCATCTCGACTCCACCAGAGTCGGAAGTGAAACGATAAAGCCTTATCTACGTACTGCTCCTTTGAAAGTGTAATGAACCTATCTCCACACCCTGGAGATTTCGGAGCTCTTCCATGAGACCCACGACTACTCCAGTATATAAATACGAGAACCTCAAGGCAAAGTTACACGTGATTACTCTACTCTCTAGCATTAAAGCTCTCAAGCTCTCAAGCACTCAGCTTGCATTTACAACATACTAACTTAAGCATCGGAGCGACCTCATCGGGTTAGCCACCCCGGTTCTCTGATAGATTGTTTTGCAGACCGATCCAGCTCGCCGTCTACTTGGAGTCTGGATCGTCCTCCAACTAAGAGTAGTCAAATCGCGCACCATCACACATCATTTGTATTAATTGTTTAGTCATTTTTATGAATTTCATTTATTTTTATCTTATCTATTTAATATTTTGAATATTTTTAAGTTAAATTAACTGTTTAATGTTGCTTTTGAAATGATTGTGTTTGAATAAAATTCGGTTACTACCATAACATTTAAAGTGTCCACTTTTTAGGGATTAGGATGCTAAGTATGTGAATTTTAAGAGAGTGGAGTTATCACTTTTTTTTGTGAGTGGATATATTTTTTTAAGAGTGAAAGTTTAACCTCTTATAAGATTTTATATATTGAAAATTTGAAGGATTTAACCTCTTATAAGAGTTTAACCTTATATATATATATATATCAAATAGATAATATCCAAGATCTACTTCTCACGGACTCACAGCTTTAATAGGCGCGTGTTACCGAGTTCACATCTTGTGGGGCGCCCCACAATGTCCCACATCACGTACCCACTTTGTATTGGAATATCTCCTAGTGATGTCTCATCATTTCCTATACTTATTATCGAGAAATATTCCTAATACACGGTGGAGATATGGTGTAGGGCATTGTGGGGCGTATATATGATCTCCGTGTTCGTATAGTGTTGGATTCACCTTCTAAGTAGAACTGTCTATCACGGTTCCCACTATCACGGTTCCCACAGGTATTCTTAGAACGAGTTGGGACGATTTTTTTATTGGAGGAGATCCGAATTTGTTGGCGTTTTGCTTAGCATGACTCCCTTCAAATTCAAATCTCTCGATCGCGAGCAAGGTTAGTTGAACGCGAGGCTGTTCAGAGGGCTATGGAACCAATGGTAAGGTTCCACGACAGTAATAAAATACATGGGCTCGTACCTTTTACAGTGGGCCCATAATTTATTGCGAGGAACCTCATTATTTTTTCACAGCCAGTTGAACAGCCAAGGCGTTCAGCTAATCCGAATTCATCCATCTTGTTGGCCTCTTCGTAACTTCCTCAGTTCCTCTACCGTAAAGGCGCAAACAAAAAAGTTTTTAAAATAAAGTCCTTGTATCATTTCATTTTTCTGCATCAGCCCTTGAATTGATGAATTTGTTTTCAGCTGTTTGTATTTATAAGGTCTGTTTCCGGATTAAGTATTTCTAGAAGGTCGTAAAAGAATAACTAGAACCATTTGAATGAAATACAATAAAATAATATCAAGGAACCACCGAAACCACAAAAATACGAAAAAATATACAGAGAAGAAGGTGAGTGAAATAGAGAAAAAGCGAAAACAGAAATCAGAAGAGAGGGAGAAGAAGCAATCCTACGAGGAGAGAGAGAGGTAGAGAGGAATGACAATGGACAGAGAGAAGGAGAGAGAGGTTGAGCTAGAGAGCGCAATGTACACCAACTGTTTGTTATTAGGGCTCGATCCAGCGATCATCGGTGTGGGAGGCAACAATGGTACCCCTCGAGTTGGGCTTTTCCGCCATTCCAACCCTAAATTGGGTGAGCAGCTTCTTTATTTCATATTATCTTCACTGAGAGGTCCAATTCAATCCGCTAAGGTACTATAACTATCTCTAAAGATCTCGACCCTCCTTTTTTTTTTGAATTTTGTATTGGATTATTCTGGTTCTCTAATCTCGAGATCTTGCAGGATTTCGATAAAGTTTGGCCGATCTTCGATTCTGCCCAGTCCCGCGACTTTCGTAAGGTGAAATTCTCTAACATTTTTAATGATTCACCTATCAACAAAATTACATGTTTAAACTTCGTCGGTTCGTCCGTGTTGGTTGGTTTGAAATTATTGATTCTGACATTTTTTTCCTTAAATAAAATTCATTTTTGTTTGTTTTCCCCAGGTTGTGCAGGGGATTATAAATGAGCTCGAATCACAGGGGGCCCTTCCTAGAAGCAATTCAAGGGTTTCTTCACTCGCAACTTGTTGTGGGCCGAGGTTGGTTATTTCTTTTATTTTTATCTGTCATACATTATTGTTAGTTTACTACTCTCTTTGTTTTCCATGTCTTTAAAGCATTAATTCAACTATAAACTTTCATTTTTTTTAATATTGTCACTTATTGCGAATGTCTCCATGATAGACATTCCTTGCTTCTGTATGAGCTGTCTTTGGGGTTTTGAGAAATTATAAGCTGCTCCTGGTTAAGTATTGACATTGAGTTTTGCTTCTGGCGCTATTAAGTGTTTCGTGGAAGCTACTGAATTAAGTTAACTCTAAATGTTTTCTACGCGTGATTGTGAAGTGAACCCGATCTTGTGCATAAAGAGGTTACTCTTTGATTGGCACCTGAATACTTTTTTCATATAAAAGAAACTCTTAGCTGGACCAGGACTTTTGCTTTAGGTCTCCTGGTTGACAGAAATTCAAGGTGAGAAACTTGTTCTTGGACGGTGATTTCTACTCAGCAAGGTGTACTGGGAAACAATAGGGATTCATAGCATGTTATAAAAGTGGGAGTTGATGAGTAGGTATTTTATCACAATGCCTTCGGTAATGTAAGGTTAGAGTGATGACCACCATAACTATGCTTTTGATAAGTCTTGAACTTTGTCTCTTTAATTGATCAAGTTGCACGGGAATGGTATACTACACATGGAAACATGGCTTTTGAGAGTTTCAATCATTCAACATAAGGGTGCTTGCTGACTGCTGTACTCTATGGAAGATATTAATGGGTTTCCAATTGTCTCAGGAGTGGTAGTGGTAGAGATAACTAAGTTTGTATTCCATATTTGATAGTACATGAATACTTATTTTTTTCTGCATATTTTGTGCATCCATTTATTTTGCGTTTGATGTTTGAAGGCTAAGATCTATTTATAGGACGCTAATCATTGAAACGAATTATAAGAATATTTTGCGGTCTCACTGCATTTATTTCCTTTTCCTACTTATCTTGGTGGTTCTTTGTTATTTAGTTTTTCTGGTCTTGGTGTGCATCTGATTATCACTCTTGAGTTGTCTTGAACATTTCATGCAGAAGTGGGCCTTGTTACGAACCAGATAAATATATTTTTTATATTATTGGGAGCTAAAATTTATTGTTTAGCATTTTCCTCCCTAGAGACTAAACTGTTTCTGGTGAAGTTAAAGCGTTGTCTAGATGTAACTTAAGTGATTGCCTAGGCGAACCATATGGTCGGCATAGATATAAACTTCTAACTGGGGCCAAATAACTTGTTATGCTTCCTTATATATTAATGGGTTTATGTTATCCCATTTACAGTTGACAGGAGTAAATGTAGGGCTAAAAATTAGGACTCATAATCTTTTCGTGTATGTTGTGTTTTTCCATTGAATCATGGTGGTTACCTGAGACTAGTATAAGTTGTCATTTGACCATGTATTAATTTAACTTGTGGTTCAATAGTTTATAAATAACTATTATAAAATATGATTTTCAAAAAAAAAAGCTATTGTAAAATATGTGTGTATGGTTATATACAGTATGTTATGTATGGTTATATGCAGACACTATAGAGTATGTATATACTTTTTTACTGATTGTGATGCCTATGTCTGGTAGGCATTGACTTGCCTTGCCATGCCAACATGCCTAGGAGTTGTCTAGCTGCCTCTGCTTTTGTACACACTAGTTGTGTGTGCTTTAATTTTTATAAATGGTCCTCAGGTTTTTCATCTTCTGTTTCTTTGTTATATATTTGTATGTACATGCATGTATATTTCCTTTAAGGCTATGTTTGGTTTAAAGAAAAAAGTAGAGAAAGGAAGGGAAAGGTAGGAAACCTTTACAAACCTTGTATGGGTATCCCAACCTTTCCCTTCCTTTTTCTACTTTTTCCTTCAAACCAAACACAACCTAAGTTCATCACTATGGCTGTGCTGCCTCCACTTTTGCACACACACAGTTGTGTGTGTGTTTTACTTTTTATAAATGGTTCTCAGTTTTTTATTTTCTTTTTCTTTGCTGTGTGTCTGTGTTTGTTTTTTACTTTTTAATGGTTATCATTTTTTTTTTTCCATTTCCTGTTACTTTGTTATATATTTGTATGTACATGTATGTATATTTCCTTTAAGTTCATCACTATGGCCATGTTTGCGTGCATGTCATTTTCTGTTTCTTTGTTATATATTTGTATNTTTGTATGTACATGTATGTATATTTCCTTTAAGTTCATCACTATGGCCATGTTTGCGTGCATGTCATTTTCTGTTTCTTTGTTATATATTTGTATCTGCATGTATATATATTTCCTTTAAGTTCATCACTATGACCGTGCTGCATCATTGAAGTCCTTAGATTTTGCAATGCATGTTGATAATTGGTATAGTATAACTAAGGAAGATGTTTCATATGGTGACTGCAGATTTGTTGAGCTTTTATGGCAGCTTTCTTTGCATGCTTTACGAGAGGTTCATAGAAGAACATTTGCGGCAGATGTAGCTTCTAATCCATTGCCTGCTTCATTGACAGATGTAGCATTTTCACATGCAGCTACATTGCTTCCTGTGACAAAGGTACTCTTGATTTATTTCACTGCTTAAAGTTTTCATGACCTCTCTATGTTACTAGTATTACATAGTTGTTTATTATCACTTTATTTTTTAAATATATATAATAAGAGCCACATATGAATATGTCATGTCTATTAAGTTTTGTTTTCATAACGGATGTTTGCTTCTCCTTCAATGAATATCTTAAGTACATTAGGAACCTAAGTTGGGGTAGTGAGTAAACATATTATTATTTGCTAATTTAGTCAAAGTAAGAGAGAGGGGAGTTGGGGTTGGAAAATTGGAGTAAATAACTTCAGATTTCCTTAGCAAATGGCTATGGAGATTCACACTTGAGCAGGACAATTTGTGGGACAATGTCTTTGGTAGCATCCATGGTTGGGCTGTTAATGGATGGGAAGTTAAATTTTGGGAAGACCTCTTGTAGGGAGACAGACTGTTGAAATATCATTTCTCTATTATCTATTCCATCTCCTCGCACAAGTATAAGCCCATCTCCCACTTGGCCTTCTTTTCTAATATGATAATTTCTTGGGATTTGGGTCAAAGGAGGTTTAAGGGACTTCAAACATGCTAAAGCAATCAACCTCGTTAATCTTTTGGAGGAAGTGTTTCTTGATCCCTTAAAACATGACTCTAGGCTTTAAACCCTCTCTGCTTTAGATTGACTCTTAAGTTCTTTGATCTTTTAACCCTCTCCTGTGCAGGTTTTTCTGGTAAGATCCATTTGGTATCAAAACAGTTCTGCTAAAGATTAGGGTATTTTGTTGGGAAGTATTCCATGTGGCCTTAATTAGTACCTTTCACCTCATAAATTCTTTCTTTGTGATGCGACCATGGAATCTACATTTTGTATGCTAATCTCATGCCCATTTACTTCCTAGTTTCTTGGTTTGGTTTTTTGCTCTCTTTTGTTGTAAGTGGTTCTTTTCTGGAAATGTTTAAAGCCTGTTTAAGACTCATTCTTCAATCAAGAAAAAAAAAGAAAGATCTTGTGGAGGTGCACAAGGATATTTGGGTGGGTTCAAAAACTGATACGTATTGCATGATACACACTGATACGTTGTGATATTTTGAACCCTGCAGGTATATTTAATGAATAAAAGTTATCTGAGGATTCAATCATAGAAAATATTTCCACAGAAGTTTACTGATAAAAAAATCCATAGAAGTGGTTAGTGGGGTTAAAACATTGGAGTTATTTTGAACCATATTCTAAGAATGATAACCTTAGAGGATAGTAGATAGTGGCTAATTCCTCATCTTTAGGAACACAGGTATGGCCTCCACGGTTCCACTAGCTATGAGCTAAGTGAAGCTTAACTTTATTGGTTGTAGCTTGGGCCAAGGTTCAAAGTATCGATACGATACGCATTTCGGCTGTATCGTATTGGTACTTAGAAACGGCCGATACACACTTTTTTTTTTAAGTTTTTTTTTCAAAGTTTGGTTTTTTGGGAAGTTTATAAGATGTTTTTTATTATTAAAAAAAGTTGGGGGGTCCGAAACTCCTGGAAACAGGCGTTTCGGACCGTATCTTTTTCAAAAGATACGATATGATACACCCGATACGGGGTGCATCGTATCGATACTTTGAACCTTGGCTTGGGCAGCCTGGGTAATTCAGGCACTGGAGGAATTATTAGAGACAGTGAAGGGGCAGCTTTAATCCTCTATTTAGGCCCCTAAGCCCCTTTTGTGTTGGGGATTCCACAAGAGACAAACTGTTTACTGTGTTACAAGGATTCAGGTTGGACAAAAGGTGCATGAGGAACATGGTTGTAGAAGGAAATTCTAAGGTTTGATAAAAAAAAGGAGATTCAAAGGTATGGTAGGCTGGCTGAAAAATGATAGGCAACGAATGCTACAATATTATCAGACATTCAGAGAGTTCCTAGCAAGGGAAATGACTCTTGCTATTAGATGATAGATCATTCAGCAAATAGTATTGCTAATTCAATACCAAAGCGAGGGATTACTAGGGAACAACTGCTCTGGGGGTAATCAGTTTGTTGAGCAAAAATTAAAATTGGTGTTTAGGTGGCAATTGCTAGCCTAACAAAGGATACCAATGCTCACTGTACATAAAATCTTTTACCACAATCAATAAAATTTCAGAGTTAATACAAGGAATTTAGTCAGAATGTCAGATATTGTAATTTCAGTCCTTTTTGTTTTTTTGCATGAAGTGGCCACTCTCAGACTCGAACCTACGTTCTCATGCTTGACAGCCCGAGTTTTTACCATTACACCAAGTAATGGTCCCTATCAAAGTTTGCCTAGAAAACAAAATGTAGTGATTCAAAGAAGTTCAACATTGTATTTTTTGATGGTCCTCTCCCCTGCCTCTCTTTATCTAGTAAATCACATATTCATCTTTATATTAAAGCCAAGTATGTCAAAACCATCTTTGGTTGCTGGCTAGCTCTCACTGGAGCCTTCTATGTATAACAGGCTCGGATTGCACTTGAACGAAGGAGGTTTCTTAAAAATGCAGATACAGCTGTCCATAGACAAGCCATGTGGTCGAACCTGGCTCATGAAATGACTGCTGAATTTCGTGGTCTTTGTGCCGAAGAGGTAGAGGGTAACTTCTTGACATTTCTTTCGGGGGCCTGAGGTCTATATTGAATTTTCTGCTTAGAGGTTATGGTTGTATCAATTGTTCTTACATCAAAATTTCCCTGATCCTGGAAGTCAGGCTTATTTACAGCAAGAGTTGGAAAAACTACAGGACTTGAGGAACAAAGCAAAGTTGGAAGGGGAACTATGGGATGATCGCGTCCCTGGTTCCTTGGGTCAGAATTCACATTTAGTCTCCAAGGCAACTCGTCTGTGGGAGTCTTTATTAGCTCGCAAGAGTAATTATCCAACTCTTACTGTTTTGAACTTTTTGTATCAGTAACAGATTAGTGATTGTATTATTTGCAATACAAATAGAGTACAACTTGATTTGTGCCAAGCACCCATTCAGGTATAGGCCCCTTGGCCATCCCAATTTGAATATCTTTCTAATTTGTGCATTTTACAAGGGATTTCCTTCTGAAGCCACCCAACAATACAACTGATTTCTGCCTAACTGCCTTACTGTTCTGAATCTTATGATACGGCTTTCTTTTTTCATACCCTTTTCTTGTTCACTGTCATAATAGTAAGTAGCCAATCTGATAGTTCAAATTATTGTGCATGATTCTCTCAAGAGAAATCTGTTAAATGGAGCTTCTTTTTCATGCCCTTTTTCTTGTTCACTGTCATTATTGTAATTAGTAAGTAGCCAAACTGATAGTTCAAATTATTGTGCATGGCTCTCTCAAGAGAGATGTTATTAAATGGAGCTTTTTTTGGATGTTTTACATGTATCGCAGTATTGCTTTGCATGTGCTTCATTTAGCATTATGAATGTTGACTGAAACATTGTAATTTTGACAATGCTTTTTTGATTCTATACACCTTCACATTTTGTGTAAATAGCACTTGTAGTTCTTTTTTTTTTGGATAAGCAATGGTAAGATTTTATTAATGAAAACACCCACACTGCTCCAAAAAGCAGTTGGCATAAACAGGTACAAACAAGCTACCAAAGCTGCAAGCCCAGCTCCTGCCACAAGAAGCCCTATAGACAGAATTAGAAGGAAAAAAACGAAACACAAGTTAAAGATTACAAGTTTACAACCTGGTCCTGGATAGCCCTATTCAAGATGATTTTTTTTGCCACTCCTGCCCTAGCTAGAGAGTCCGCTAGATCATTAGCACTTCTAAGCACCCATTTGAATGAGCTATTCAATAAGAAGCCCAAATGTTGTGCTTGTCTCACCAGTGGTCTAACCTTCAATGGAATCAAATTCTGTTTTCTCATCCAACAGATTTAATTCCTATGCACATTATAATGGCCAATTCTTTTTTTTTTCTATACTTAACTTTTTTAGGTATTACTGTATTACTTTAGATCAATGATTTTTGGTGTGTTCTTATTTTGGTAAAGCCATAAAGGGGGGTGCCCTCAAACAGAAAGAACAAAAAAAAAAAAAGAGCTTGAATTTATAGGCGGACTTTGAGGGAAATTGAGAAGTTAGCAAGGAAAATGGTTGCAACATTCAGATGGGTTAAAAGAACTGCTAATGGGAGGCAGATTCCTTGGCCAAACAAGAGGTTAACAGGGAGCAGTATTTCTGGGCAGAATTGTAAAGGTCTAAAGATAAAAATGGGTGGTCGGGTATCCAGACCCAGTCTGGTTGTAATGTAATCACTAACTCAATAATTAATAAGAATGCTTTTTGCTGATAAAAAATGTCTCTGTTGTAAATAGTCTAAAGATAAAATTTGGGTGGTTGGGCATCCAGACCCAGCCTAGTTGTAATGTACTGATCAGCTCAATAATTAATAAAAATGTTCTTTGCTGATAAAAAATGCCTGTGTTGTAACATGGGTATCAGTTAGAGTGGCAGCCAAAGTCTATACTAATATACTTTCAGTTTTTTATTCTTCTGTGAGGGTAGGTTATCACTCTTCTATTTTAGCATATCATTTTTGTTTAGGCCTTTTTGTATAAGGTTCTGGATGGCCAGAGTGTGATCTTCCTTTTTGTTGATGTTTCTTTGTTATTTGGTCAGGACTGTGCACGAAGCATATACAATCCTTGCTAATATTATAGATGATTACTTTAAAAAAAAGTATATATAGTCATAATGACATGGCAAGAAGTTTCACCAACCCAATTATGATATTTTATAGCTCCTTTTGCTTGTCAGGCGTCAACCATCTACCCATCCATTCTCTTTTATTCTATCAGTAACAAATATTTTTTATTAACATGGAAATAAATGTACAGAAAAGAAGCTAAGGGTTTTTATTGTTCAGTCCACCTCATAATTTTTTATGAGTTTGTACGGTTGGGAGCAGTGGCAGGTAGGGGAATCCATCACAATTTGG